ACTCTCATATATATATATATATATATATATATATATATATATATATATATATATATATATATATATATGAACGCTTCACTTATTTGGGAAGTTGCATCAACCAGCGCCAGTGGGTTGACGAAATCTCAGCTGGGTACAGATACAGAGGGCTAGTTTCTCATATGCCAGTTTACGCCGTCTTTGGTTCAGTAGACGTGATATTCGGCTAGCTATCGACCAAAGGGTGGGTGTGTAATGCTCATCAGTTTGCTCCATCCTCCTTTATGGCTTTGACAGAGACCTGACCATTGAGAGTCGAAGACATGAAGAGATTAGCTGTCTTCGATCATAGATGCCTGCGTTCCATCTCCCGTGTGAAGTAGTATAATAAGGTGAGCTACATCGAAGTTAGGCGTCGAGTTCTAGGTAAGGAGAGAGGGGAAATCAATCGATGAGGCTGTGAAATTACATCGACTGAGATGGTTAAGGCACGTGTTACGTATGCCTATTCATCGTCTTCCTCGACTGATGGGCAATGTTAGCTGACATACGGTCAGGCTGGAAAAGAGGTAGCCAGTGGTTGTCAAATCAAAACATGGCTTCACCAGTCAATGAAATCCACAACAGTTAGTTTAAGCCGGCCAGTCCGTAGGAAGGTGTAGACTTCCTGACCGGTCGGGGTCCTCGGGACGGTAAAAATCAATGAAGACTGGAAACAATTGGTGATATGGCTCAAAGTGATCGTTCTCAATGATGGCTGGCCCAGATGCGTCCACTCCTTGTGACTTATGATTTCCAATGAAGCTATATTGTTCTTCAATTGGTGAATGGTGGCTAACAGTGGAATCCAGGATGCGCATTTCGTCCTACTTGGGACTCGTCCGCTGGATGTACCTCTCAGTGAGTGATGATGTTCCCACCGAGGCTCGAACCCAGTGCCTATAGCTTCAAACGCCAGTTGAAGCGTTATCCACTAGACCACTTGGGCCAAATTATTACTATTCCTTCGCCTCACACCTCTGTTTACTGTCTCTATTATGCATTTCTTGTAGTTTCTTCTCTTGCTATGTGTGCTATAAGGAGGGAGTGTGGCGACTTGAACTACCGCACATTGGTTCAAAGTTATATGTCGAAAACAGACAGACATTCCTATGACAAGTTTGTGTGTGATCAGATTGTTCGAAACGTGTTGCGCGAATACACATTACACACGATTCAGACAGATTACTGCTTTGCATATATACACTCTAGACAATCTTACAGCACAATTGTCATTAATAAAAATCTGTCAGGTAAAAGATGAAAAAATAACAACTTGTTGTAGCGAAGAAACACTTCTAGAATCCATTAAATGTTCTGTTATCAAAATGTATGCACTCTTGAGTTATCCCTTTGTTAACCATGCTGGACAGTGAGTGTTACCGAGCGCGTTTTACAAGCAAACGAATGGTATGCAACCAATGTACTCGGTTTTCCAAGAGCAACTGAAGCGGCCCAATGCGACAGCTTATCTTTGATGACGAGCGGATTGAATACTTACTCGCAGACTGAAGGTGATATATGTTTTACTGAGAGACTTCAAAAGCCATCTACGGAGAAGTTCTACTTCGGTATCACTGTTTTTAAATTCGAGCTTAAGTATCCGCATCTTTTAGGCGGGGGTGGTGGAGCAACTTGGACCTCTTTAGACGTTTTCTTTCGTTTTAGATTTTTTTTCTATGAATCTAGGTGAAGGGAAACCGTTTTCTATCAAGATACCTCGGAGATTTCACAATTCTTCGTCAATTGACTACTCAGTGCGTACTTTCCGGACGCACACAACTTTGGAAGTTAATAAACTATCTGTTCCATATGTGTGCTTTTTTGTAGCTGGATCTCGTCGAGTTGTCAGTATTCCTTGACATTTGAACGCCAAGGAAATGAAACATTTAGTCATACTCAAATTCCAAAGTGAAGTCGATATCTCGGTGGACGTTATTGGAGGTTTGAACTGGGTTCCTTTTTAAACTCATAATTCTCACCACATATAATCAAAGTATACAAGTAATTGTGTTCTGTGAGCTAGTTAGTTTAATTGTTAAGCTTTCGTCGTCCTTTTGGACAACATTTTCAGCACAAGTTTTAGCATAACATGAACTGATTTAAATTCTCCATGAGTGATACAATCTGTCTGTCTCTGTTTTCGCCAAAGAAATTTGCACCGATGTGCACCAGTTCAAGTCGCCACACTCCCTCCTTGTACCACACAAAGCAACAGAAGAAATGCATAATAGAGACAGTAAGCAGAGGTTTGAGACAAAGGAATAGAAATAACGAAGAACAATATAGTTTCATTGGAAATCATAAGTCACAAGGAGTGGATGCATATTCACCAGCCATCGTTGAGAACGATCACTTTGAGCCATATCACCGATTGTTTTCAACCATTGGTTTTACCGTCCCGAGGACCTCAACCGTCCAGGAAGTCTACATCTTCCTACGCGGCTGGCTAGCTTAAACTAACTGTTGTGGATTTCATTGACTGATGAGGCCATGTTTTTGTTTGACCTCCACCAGCTCGTTTCTAGCCTGATCCTATGTCAGCTAGCATTGCCCATCAGTCGAGGAAGACGATGAATAGGCATACGTAACACATTTCCTAACCATCTCAGTCGATGTAATTTCACAGCCTCATCGATTGATTTCCCCTCTCTCCTTACCTAGAACTCGACGCCTAACTTCGATGTAGCTCACCTTATTATACTACTTCACACGGGAGATGGAACGCAGGCATCTATGATCGAAGACAGCTAATCTCATGTCTTCCACTCTCAATGGTCAGGTCTCAATCAAAGCCATAAAGGAGGATGGAGCGAACTGATGAGCATTACACACCCACCCTTTGGTCGATAGCTAGCCGAATATCACGTCTACTGAACCAAAGACGGCGTAAACTGGCATATGAGAAACTAGCCCTCTGTATCTGTACCCAGCTGAGATTTCGTCAACCCACTGGCGCTGGTTGATGCAACTTCCCAAATAAGTGAAGCGGTCAACAATGATAAAATAGTGTCTCCTGGCAATCGATTTACACCCATATTGATCACTTTCTATTCACTTGGTTTTTGAACTTGCCCGTTAATTGTAATAGACTTTTTATTAATAATGTCTGTAAATCGCTGGTTCGCTTGAGTGTACCAGGCTTCTAGGAATTCTCTGGCGACTTTCGAAATCTCTCAGTAAAACATACTTCCCCACCCACCCCCAGCCCAGGAGTAACATTTTTCTGAGAGAAGCAATTCAATTAGCTTTGTGATGAAAGACAAGCTTTCGCATTGAGCCACTTCACAACTAGTTCACTTGCTCATGTGGAGTTGAGTACTATGTGGCTAGAGGCAATCGGCTACAGGAAGCCTTGCCTGACCTAGGTTTCGTGCTAGTTGACACTCATCAGCAAGGTGTATCTGCAACCTTTAAGGGAACTCATGTCCCTTCTGAGATTCGAATCCGTGTCACGCAGTATCAGCTGCAGTCAGAGACATCACCACTGATATATTCAGGCTCGCGATTGACCTCCTGTAGGATTCTATTGGGTATTTTGATTGCACACTAGTCAGTAACTAGTGTGATTTGTCTAATCCTCTTTCTTTGATGCAGACTGAATTCTATCAGTCAAGCTTGCAATGTGGCCACCATGACACTAGGTGACTCACCATTACGGTGCACTGTGGATTGTTATTGGTGTTAGATGGTTGGAGGCGATTGGCAGGAGTTGAGTACATTGACCGTGTATACCATTCGTCTGCTTGTAAAACGCGCTTGGGAACGCTCTATCCATCCAGCATGGTTAACAGAGGGAGAACGCCAGGGTAACAGAACTTCTAGAATCAACTACACAGGACAAAAAAAACGTTGTAGAATTCCAAGAACTCTAGATGCGAAAGTGCACACACATACATGTGCAACAGCAAGTGAGGAAGCATTACCTATTACGAAACTAGGACGAAACAGCTGTCCATTACTTCCTGGTGGTTTTCCAGTGGTCCTCTAACCAATGTCAGCTGATGATGAAATCCCATAACCAATCAAATCCCTACAAACCAAAACTTGAATATCAATGGGATGCTCACTGGCGACTTGCCCTATTCAGGTAGCTAGTTACCACCTGGGTGGTGGTTCTAGTGAGAAGTCGTGACCGGTAGGGTGCAGCAGTAAGTCGGGTGTGATATGTATCCACATGATGTGTGTTTTGTTTTTGACAGTCTGTTATATTTTGCTATGTGTATATGTATCGATATTCCATTATAACTGACATTATGCCTTTGTCTGTCCACTAACTAAATAAACAATATATCACCTTGTTGTCACATGACATTACAACCAATCATGGTAAGATGACTGTCTATTGGTTCATGTGTATTAGCCATTTTCATATATACTTTTGTATTAGACACTTGTTTATTCTTGTTCACACGCTTCGTACATCTAAGTACCCTTCCACTCACACACTAGTGTGACATTTATTTTCCTTGTCTGGAAAATACAAGTATCATCGTAAACCTAGTGGTCTTCTGATTTCCCTCCTTCTACGTCAGGACTATTTAACTACTCGACAAGTACATAACATAATTGGCGACGGGGAAAACTCAGCAGCAGTACGTAACAGGGTGTGAGGATAAATACTCCCGCCAACGATGACATTGGCTAGGGGTTGCACTATGTCATGAGTGAATTAGCAGAAGTTAGAATTCATGGACTGGTTGGCCATTGGATCAGTCAGGTCCCAGTGGCTGCTGAATGGAATAGCCTACAAGCTCGCTAGCCTTGTAACCAGAAGGTCCTAGGTTCGAAACCTTGTGCAATGGGGTGCGTACTGCTGAAGAGTCCAAACTAGGCCGACGAAACAGCTGTCTGTGCAGTACTCCCAGCTGGTTTTCCAATGGTTGTCTCTCTAACCAATGTCAGCTCATAATGAAATCCTGTAGCCAATCAATTAAATCCCCACAAACCAACACTCGAATATATATATATATATACATATGTATATATATATATATATATATATGTATTTCCTGCTTGTCTCTCTCTCTCCCCACCCCACCCCCAATTGATTGTAATACTTTACATATACAAGAAGTTGAATGAATCTCATTTACAAAAATGCATGTATATTATGTATGTAGATGTAGATAAATAAATATCAGCGTCTTCGTTTAAGCTTTCCCATCTTTTTTCTTAGTTTAGTAACATCACGTGCACGACGATTGTAGAACCAATTTTGTATAATCTTCTTATCTAAATTGAATTTCACAGATAATTCTTTAGTCTCATATCTAGATATCCGTTGATTCTGATATTTATAGGAGAAGCACAAAAACACAAAACAAACAAAAAAACACTTTGAGACTATTAAATTAAAAAAAAGAAAACAACAATATAAATAACGAGCGTCGGTGGTATAGAGGTTAGGACTCCTGCTGACCATGCACATGGTCCGGGATTCGATCCCCGGCCAATTGACGCACTCCTTTACCCTCGCTAAGCCAGAAATAATTCTGGTAAAGAGGAAAGGCTAGGTGGGCATGAGGCAGGCTAGCAACCCCATCCTGTAAAATAAACACCACTGCTACAGAAACTTCAAGCCACTAGCTTGGGGCCCTATGTGTTCCACTGGGGAACGTGAAGGAGAAAATATAAATAAATAACAATGTTAACTTGAGACATTTCCAAGGAAAATTGTCTAGATTAGTCACGACAGAGAGCTGGTTTATAAATTCGAATTCTACAAGCCTCCTCCACAATTGCAAGCATCTTCTTGTTTCTTTGTTTGCTGACAATGATGAATGACTTGACCGCGTCGATATCATGTCCGTAATCCACAAGATGTTTTGTGCCAAAATCCTCAATAACAACAAAACATCTTGTGGATTACGGACATGATATCGACGCGGTCAAGTCATTCATCATTGTCAGCAAACAAAGAAACAAGAAGATGCTTGCAATTGTGGAGGAGGCTTGTGCAATTCGAATTTATAAACCAGCTCTCTGTCGTGACTCTGAATCTACCATGGTAATACGTTTTACTTATTATTCTCTACTTGTTATTACTATTATTCTTGATTCATTTAAAACTATGCTTTATCAGTAAGATTATCTTAACTCACTTCAACACTATTATTATTATTATAACTATTACTATTGATATTAGTCTGTTTGCAATTCTTGTTATATTCTCTAATGTCTAATTGTTTATCTAAGTGATGTAATTGAAGCGTAATGCAATTTATCTTAATTTTGATTTCTCATACTCTCTCTCTCTCTTTCTGCCCTTATCTATTTGAACATGACCTGGAAAACATTCTCACCTGTCGTCTTTCTGCATGACAAATTCAATGTAGTTTGTTTACTTATCAGTCTCATATCTCCCAATGTAATTTCAACAGGTATATGTATATCCGTGTATGTAGAGTAGTATTTAGCTGATGTGTTCTACCGAAATCTGATGAATTCATTAAATCATCCTGCTTTATTGCTTGTTTTAAATTCGTATCGGGAAATCAATGTTTTCAATATTATTATCCTCTTGAGTTCCGAGTGGAACATATTAATTAGGGCTTCAACAATACATCTCCACTTTTTGTTCTATTTCCTGGTATCCTCTTCATCTGGCTGACCCCCCCCCCCACAACGATTGCCCATAGCCTCTCATCTCCTCCTCCCCAACTCATACGATCTCCTCGATGTCACCCTTGCACTGACGACCCACTAAGTAGTCACTTCCCGTGTGGATTCCACTCGAGTAATGGTAGAAAAGATCAGCAACAGGGATCTCTGGCAATGAGAGAACCAACCAGGAACCGATTGTGAAAAAAATAAACAGGAAGAATTGGAGGTGGATTGAAGGCCATACTCTGAGGAAACAAACCATCAAGTGAGTGACATCGCTGGACAAGTCCTCGAAATGGAAACGGAGAGTTGGTCGTCAATGCAAGGGTGACTTGGGGGAGGTCGTGTGAAGAGGAGATGAAAGCATGTGGGCAGACTTGGATCGGGGTGGAAAAGTTGGCAGAAAACCGAAAGCAATCGAGACGTTAGGCTGAAGCCCTATATTCCCCTAGGAATTACAGGATATAATAATAATAATATCATAATCGCCTATCATCATTCGACAGCCTCCTCAATGTAAGCCTGATTCCATTTCCACTTTCTCCAACATTTTTTGTTGGACGATCGGCTCTTGTTGCCTATTGATTTTTTCCCAGTCAGAGTTTCTTGCTACTAATTCTTTCTGATCGGCCATTCGATCCTCAGTATGGAGACAGCCAAGTGGGCAGTTGTTGATAGAAGTCTGCAACAAGCTAGCTGCTGTTGGAAATCCTTTTCGTGACTGACAAGCAGTGCAAGTTTCTGACTCGTATAGAAGCACTGACCAACTTGAAATTGATGTTTTGAATAGAATCCGATTAGTCTTCCTTATTCTGACTGAATGGAATGAGAACAGAAGATTTCCAAATTGGTTCCAGGTTTATGAGCGGAGTGTATCCTGCCTTTCGGATTCCCACTGACTTCGACATCTTTATTCGTTCCACTGGTCTGTGTGGTTGGAACTATGCTTCCTAGATAAGTGAAGCGAGTAAGGCGCTGTCAAATCACTCCTGTTGATAGTGACTGGTGTTAGTTGTTGGTCGGTTGGTTGGTTATCTTCATCACCTCCGTGTGCTCCATGTTCACCTGCCAGTTTGTTGGTTTTCGTCTGCCTGCCTGCCTGCCTGTAAGTCTTCAAATCATCTGCAAAATTTACGTCTTCCAGAGTCATGTTAACGGAAAACCAAAATGGAATGAAATGTGATTTTAAAATCCTACTGTTTTCAGTTTGCTAGGTCTGTCTGTCTGTTTTCGACATAGAAGTTTGCACCAATGTGCACCAGATCAAGTCGCCACACTCCCTCCTTGTACCACACAAAGAAGGAGAAGAAACTAGAAGAAATGCATAATAGACACAGTAAACAGTGGTGTGAGACAAAGGAATAGAAATAACGAAGAACAATATAGTTTCATTGGAAATCATAAGTCACAAGGAGTGGATGCATATTCACCAGCCATCATTGAGAACGATCACTTTGAGCCATATCACCAATTGTTTCCAGTCTTCATTGATTTTTACCGTCCCGAGGACCCCGACCGGTCAGGAAGTCTACATCTTCCTACGGACTGGCCGGCCTAAACTAACTGTTGTGGATTTCATTGACTGGTGAAGCCATGTTTTGATTTGACAACCACTGGCTACCTCTTTTCCAGCCTGACCCTATGTCAGCTAGCATTGCCCATCAGTCGAGGAAGACGATGAATAGGCATATGTAACACATGTCCTAACCATCTCAGTCGATGTAATTTCACAGCCTCATCGATTGATTTCCTCTCCCTACTTAACTAGCACTCGACGCCTAACCTCGATATTGCTCACCTTATTATACCACTTCACACGGGAGATAGAACGCAGGCATCTATGATCGAAGACAGCTAATCTCTTCATGTCTTCCACTCTCAATGGTCAGGTCTCAGTCAAAGCCATAAAGGAGGATGGAGCGAACTGATGAGCATTACACACCCACCCTTTGGTCGATAGCTAGCCGAATATCACGTCTACTGAACCAAAGACGGCGTAAACTGGCATATGAGAAACTAGCCCTCTGTATCTGTACCCAGCTGAGATTTCGTCAACCCGCTGGCGCTGGTTGATGCAACTTCCCAAATAAGTGAAGCGGTCAACGTGCTCTACCATTTCACTCGCTATTTCTAATCTAGGAGTTGGTGTAGTCCAGTCCTGTAACATCATCTTACATTTGGCGGAGGGAGCGAATCACTCGCATGCCAAACATTCGTAGATTGCAGCTCAGTTCAAGGTGTTCAGAAGACTCTGCTTCATTTTGTCAGTGTCCTCGCCTAGTAGGACTATATCGTCTGCATATTCTAAATCAACAAGATTATTCTCTGGCAGCAAGTCAATCCCTGAGTCCCTGAAGTCACTTAGGGTTAAGTCAATTAGTACATCTATGATGAAGTTGAATAGAAGTGGGGATAGCTAGGTAGGTAGGCAGCTAGCTAACCGGCTAATAAATAATCTAATAAAAAACACACTTACTTTTTTATAAATTTTCTCCAATTCCATTTTAACATTATCAGGTAAGTTTGTTCTTCGTTGCCTTTTAGGAAATTCACCTGAGATAGATTCTGTCAGCTAAATGTAGGTAATACAACATTAAAAAAAAGCAACAACAACATTTATTCATCTCAATGATGCTTAATAACAATTTTAAACTTTGATTATTATTTTTCAAAAAAATGAATACTGATCAAAGAGTGCTCTTTTCGATAACCCCTTCATCATCAAGCTCTACAGTTATATATCCAGCCATTATAGTGAATGAATGAATGAATTAGTGTTATGAACAACAACATTAATGTTGCTGTTTAAATAACATCGAATCACATTGATAGATTACAGCTGAATAGCATCAACATAAAATAAGCTGAATGTGAGACAGACAAATTAGGAAGGATAATATTACAAATTCATGAATTCATAGTGTCCACTGAAGGCCGGCCAGGACGGCAGTAGTAGTTGTGGCTGGACTTGGTTCTTTTGAACACAGAGCACTGGTGTGTTGTATCTACCGATTCAACTGCGTGTTTGGTGTAGCGAGTTATATTGGCCGTTGCTCCAGGAACTTGATTTTTCGTGGTCACTCGAGAACATCTCCCATTATGGCCAAGTAAAGGTGTAGTTAACACCACTAACAGTTCAATATTAGACCATCCGGTGCAAACCGGCCGGCCACAAAGCCAGTATGCTCCAAACAACAGAGGATATCTATTGCAATTCGCCTCAAACAACCAGTGCTCTGTGTTCAAAAGAACCAAGTCCAGCCACAACTACTACTGCCGCCCTGGCCGGCCTTCAGTGGACACTATGAATTCATGAATTTGTAATATTATTAACAACATTAATGTTGTTGTTCATAACACTAATTCATTCATTCATTCACTATAATGTATGCATATATAACTATAGGGCCTGATGATGAAGGGGTTATCGAAAAGAGTATTCGTTGTTCAATATCCATTCTTTTGAAAAATTCTAATTAATATCTTTAGAAACTATTGACAATTGAAATTGACATGAAGTTGTTAACAATGCAAGACGTTTATTTCGGACTATTTGACTTGACTTATCTTGACAGGAATTGGGTTTTCAATACACATAGAGAGACAGAGAGCGCGCTATGTACAGAAGTGCTGCAGCAGCAGATCGAAGTTGACGCGCTCCACATATAAAGAGTACAAAGGAAAGAGGGGAAAATTCATAGGACAAATTCAAATGAGCACAAACTCACGGACAGAAACATTAATAATGATGAACACTTACTGGATCTAGGAGATAACACGTAGTGATATCCATCTCCCCCGTTGGAAATGATTTTTAAGCTATAATATCACCAATTGTCTCCAACCAGCCCGATGACGATAACCAGACAGTCTACACCTCCTTATGTGACTCAAACAAAGTGTCCAAGATTTCTTCCTTTTTTTGTTTAACCGCGCCTAACTCTTTTCCAGCCTAATCCAATGTCGGCTAATATTGCTCGTCAAGGTAGGCGATGCATAGCCATGTCAATCGATGTAACTTCACAACCTGATCGATTTGATTTCCTTCCTTGTTGAACACTCGAAGCCCAACCTCAAAAATTAGTCACCCTATAGTACCTCCTAATATGGAAGAGAAGAACTCAGACGTCTATAATCAAAGACAGCTATCCAGCCAGCCAGGCTTTTCATGTGTTCCAGTCCTAATGGCCATGTCCCACTCACAGCTATAATGGAGGAGACAGCCAACTGCTGAGGAGTACACACGTCCTTGATGAGTGTGTTTCCGATTCTCGATTTGACATCCTCGTCCGTTCCTCGTGTAGTTGGGACAATGCTCCCTAGATAAGTGAATGAAGTAACCTCTTTTAAATCCCTCCCGTTGATGGTGATTGGCGCTGGATGTAGCTGCTGTTGTTGTTGTTGGTGGTGGTTGGTTGGTTATTTTCATAACCTCCGTCTTGTCTATCTTCACCTGGAGTCCTGTCTTAGCCAGCTGCTTTTTCGACCAGTTTGTCAGTCGGTTTTCGCTTGTAAGTCTCCGATTTTGTGACAGTGACATCAAACATAAATCATCCACGCGCGAAATCCAGGTCTTCTAGGTTCTTCACTTCTGTCGGTCCAGGATATCCCTGTCTTCTCGTTTCCCACTCACTGTCTGACGCATAATCCAGTCCACCACAATTAGGAATATCATTGATGATAATAAGCACCCTTGTCTGACTCCTGTGTTTACTGCAAACGCCTCGCTGAGTTTTCCATTGTAGATCGCTTGACATGTTCCGTTGTCGTACAGCAGTTGAATAAGGTTGATGAATATTTGGGGTACGCTACAGTCACAACATTAATGTTTATATGCTGATTTAAACCGTGTAAGTATGGATATAAGCAGCATTGGATGACATTCTCTAACAGAGACCTCTACGTCTGTCTATGTACAGCAATTCGAACACACACACACACCATATTTTCAAAGTTTCTAACCTGATTTTCAAAGGCCATGTGACAAAGATATCTCGTGATTAACTGACTAGAAATGAATATTCACCGATTGGTAAATTTAAACTATTGGTTGTGGAATCAGCCTTGTTCATATTTTCTCACGGCCAATATTAGTGACCTAGACATTGACGTAAATTAATGTCTACCAATTGGCTAGCAGCCTGATCTAACCACACTCGTCCCCCCGTCAAATAGTTTGGACTGAAGTCGACTTAATCTTCTTGGTGCAGGCGTCATCGTTGGCTTGTCTCGCTGTGCCCATGTCTGGAGCTCGCTGATGTTCACGCGCTTCTCCTTGTGGTCCTTCCCACTTTGAAAACTGTTTGCCTGACCCTGTCGAAAATTCGTCGGTATTTCGGCTGACACTTTCATATGATGCTTTCGCCCGACCTCCCAGCAGCGTCCCAAGTAGCAGCTTCATCGCTGACAGATCTTGGACGCTACTTAACTGCGCAGAAGCCTTGAAGTCCTGCCCGAAGATCCATATGTCTCGATCAAAAACTGCAGGGCATAGGCTTTCCATTTGTCGGCAGGCAGCGACACCAAATGTAACAACAGAAGACAAGGGCCGGCAACAGATCGTTTTATTACAGAAATCAGCACGTATTTATATACATTTCATGTGCATTATTATAGCTTATTCACGCAAAAACAGTCTTCTGATTGGTTGTTTCTGGTTTCTCGGAAAGTTAAGCCATATATTTGCGAATCACATTTGCCCACGTTAGGTCTGCTGTGATTGGTTGTTGAATTAGCCTTATTCATATCTTTTACGGCCAAAATATTAGTGACCTAGCCACTGACGTAAATTACTGTCTACCAACTGGCTAGCAGCCTGCTCTCACCACACTATGACACCCCAATAATCAATGCGGTACACACAAATAACCTTGAATCGAGCATTTCTTGCGTTCCAAGCAGAACCTATGGCTTCAGATTTTAAAGTTTCAGTAACGTTGTTGTTGTTTTTTATACAAGGTGAATTTACTGGTGTCATAGCCAACCCTCCCTCTTTTTTCTGACCTTACTATCGCCTGCTAACAAAACTAGGCGTGGCACCTATACGCCTAACAACGTACTTCTAATTCAACGACCAAATATATGAACAAGTCGAAGGAACACACTCATGGGATGGATTGCCAACCAATATCAGGTTTCATTGCAGAAGTAGTGATGCAAAGGCTCGAAAACATAATCCTACCAAAGATCAAACCGAAAAATTGGATACGTTACGTAGACGACACATTTGTATTGATAATCAAAAGAAATGAATTGGATAAAACTCACAACTTAATAAACAACGTTTTCAACGACATCAAATTCACAAGAGAAGAGGAATCCGAGAACAAAATCACATTTTTAGGTGTCTTACTCAAGCGAACAACCACAGAGGAATTAGAAACTCAAGTTTATAGAAAATCAACTCACACAGACCAAATACTGAATTACAACAGCACCAACCCATTAACACACAAAAGGAATGGCATACAAACACTATTCAGGAGGGCCAACCAGTACTCATTGCAGCACTCCCACCTTGAGAAAAATTGAAGAAAGATATTTTATGGACGTCTTCCAAAAAGAATGGATATCCATAGAATTTCATAAAAAGACATATGCCCCAAGCCAACATATCAAACCAAAAGCCCCCACGGAAAGCACAAAGAAAATCGCCCTACCATATACATAAAGGACATCTCAGAAATCTAGCTAGCTCAGAGAACACAACCATATCAAAAAGTGGCTTAGCAGTATACATCTTCCAAGACTGAAATCCCCTGTTGGTTGGCTAGTATTTTGCTATTGATTGAACCACCACCCAGCTCAACTTTCCTTTCAAGCATGCGATTGGTCGATGATTCAAGGTCATTGTTGTTCATAATTGGGTTGGAATCTCTAGTAGTCACATCAGTCTAGTTTGTCATGAATTAACTAACAATCCTATAAATCAATGCGTCGGTAGCACAGCGGTTAGGACGCTCGCCAACAATGCACATGGTCCGGGGTTCGATCCCCGGCCAGCGACGCACTCATTTACCTCGCTAAGCCAGAAATAATCCTGGTAAAGAGGAAAGGTTGAGCGTGAGGCTAGAAACTCTATCCTGTAAAATAAACTCTGCTACAGAAACTTCAAGCCACTAGCTTGAAGCCCCAGGCTCCATCGGGAACGTGAAGGAAAAATTAATTTATGAATTAATTAATATTACTACACAGTTTTGTATTCTTCAAAAAGAATGAAGCAAAAACTAAATAAATTTTCAAAAGAATGGTTACTGTACAAAGAATACTCTTTTCGATAACCCCTTCATCATCAAGCTCTACAGTTATATATCCATCCATTATAGTGAATGAATGAATGAATTAGTGTTATGAACAACAACATTAATGTTGCTGTTTAAATAACATCGAATCACATTGATAGATTACAGCTGAATAGCATCAACATAAAATAAGCTGAATGTGAGACAGACAAATTAGGAAGGATAATATTACAAATTCATGAATTCATAGTGTCCACTGAAGGCCGGCCAGGACGGCAGTAGTAGTTGTGGCTGGACTTGGTTCTTTTGAACACAGAGCACTGGTTGTTTGAGGCGAATTGCAATAGATAACCTCTGGTGTTTGGAGCATGTGATGCTTCGATGATGATTTTGGCAATTTATTAGGCACCCGGTAGATGATGATAGAGAAGGATTCTTCAACGCTGGCTGGCTGGCTTTGTGGCCGGCCGGTTTGGACCAGATGGTCCAATATCGAACTGTTAACGGTTTTCACTACACCTTTACTTAGGCATACTGGGAGATGTTCCCGAGCGAGCACGAAAAATCAAGTTCCTCGAGCAATGGCCGATATATAAAGGTGTAGTTAAAACATCTGGTTCAAACCGGCCGGCCACAAAGCCAGCCAACCAGCGTTGAAGAATCCTTCTCTATCATCATCTACCGGGTGCCTTAAAAATTGCCAAAATCATCATCGAAGCATCACATGCTCCAAACACCAGAGGTTATCTATTGCAATTCGCCTCAAACAACCAGTGCTCTGTGTTCAAAAGAACCAAGTCCAGCCACAACTACTACTGCCGTCCTGGCCGGCCTTCAGTGGACACTATGAATTCATGAATTTGTAATATTATCCTTCCTAATTTGTCTGTCTCACATTCAGCTTATTTTATGTTGATGCTATTCAGCTGTAATCTATCAATGTGATTCGATGTTATTTAAACAGCAACATTAATGTTGTTGTTCATAACACTAATTCATTCATTCATTCACTATAATGGATGGATATATAACTGTAGAGCTTGATGATGAAGGGGTTATCGAAAAGAGTATTCTTTGTTCAGTATCCATTCTTTTGAAAAGTTTTAATGGGCAATTTTATTCAATAAAAATAAATGAATAAATGGTAAGATACTTCATTAATCAACAAACCAGAGAAGAATTGTCCTTGCTATCATTCAATGTCGTCGTCTCATGGTTGTCTGCACCATCACCATCACCATCACTATCACCATCACAATCGCCATCGCCATCTCCAACATCACCACCACTTGCATCATTATCATTATTACTATTATTTTTATTTTCTTTATAAGAATCGACAATGGCTCGAATAATTATATCGCGTCCTTCAGCAGTTCCACTATCCTTTAACCATTTTAATAGTACTGGATAAACTTTTAAATAATTGCTTAAACTTAGATCCATTCTTTCAAATCTTGAAATTACAGTTGCACTACGATGTACTCCATAAAGTTTTGCAAGTGATTGTGCTACATCAGCTTGAGAAAGATCTACAAAACAAAAAAAACAGAAATAGCATGCTAAGGGTATAAAACTAGCATAGCGCCCAATTATTTTTTTCAAAAAACAGTTGAAACTTGTCTCTATGCATTTATAAAAGAAAAGTGGTTCGGTAATTAATTAGTGTAATAATCCCTAGTTAGTGTTTCTATGGACTTCAGTATTGTTATTATTATTATGCGCCACACAACATTTCATTGATTGTCTGAGGGCTGAGATACTGCCCGGATGCCCAGACCGAAACGGGTGGTTGTCTTAAGGGACCACCATCCCCTTCCGAGCCTTTGACTTGGAGTCTAATCAGCAAGGCAGACAAAAGGAGCAGCATCAGGAGCTACGTCCTCATGGTTGCCGGTGACTAATACTGGTCTATGCGCCATTTGATCTGATTGGATTCTGGATGAACCATGGTAACTGCTTTCATCAGTCTAACCGCTATCAAAACAACAACCTTCTTGACATGGTGGTAGGTAGGACCTGCAGGAATATGAGTCCAAGCCAGTTTAGCTTGTTGGGTCACTGAAGCATAAAAAGCCCAATGACCACCACGACAAGGTAGCAGTTGTCGACCGGTGAGTGGTGAAATACTCGCATCTATTCTCGATGGCAAGCGATGAGTTGGGTACCAGACGATGACATGCAAAGGATTATGTGAAGAGGGAATGACTGCTTGTAGGCAGTTACGGATCCAGGTGATATTAAATATTGGAATAAAAATCAACCCATATAGGATAATGTACATTCAGAAATAACAATATGAGTGTTATTGATCAATTACAATCAGATGAGAAATAAGACGAGTGTTTTTATGGTCAAAATAAATAAGTAACTTGTTACAATGTTGTGATTTGCTTGAATTGAAATAGAATTTTGAGATTATTTATTATCCTGCTCTGATTCGACTGACTGACTCACTGACTGGTGGTAATAATACCTTCCATACATATCTCTGGTATCTGCATTGAGTCATTTCTGTTGCATGTGTTGGGTGTAGACTCAATGAATCAGGATTCAGTAATCAATCTCTCTGTATCTCCACTTACATAGATTACTTCTTAGAATCTTAACCCTCTCCCACCCTATTGTGTGGTGGTATGTTAATGCGTGAAGTGAAATCGGTGAGCTTTTTTCTAAATTAATTATCTTTTCGAGGTCAACTATTCTTCCCTTAGCTAAATTCTTATGTTCTGACAATCTGACTATCCCCGATCTACTAGTTTGACCTATGTAGTTGACCTCACAGTCATTGCAGGGTATTTTGTAAACTATAACCTACAGAAATTTTTATTTTTTTGTTTGTTTTTTTTTTATTTACAGCTTGATTCCACACTGTATTTTTGGTACAAGTATGGAATTTTCAGCATGGATATCGGTAGCCCAAATTTTGCAGGCCAACCATAGATATCAGGTGTGCATCGGCAGGGGATCGAACCTCAGACCATGTGCATGGTCGGTGAGAGTCCTAACCAGATTGTAGGTTAAAGGACCCTATTGACCCAAGTAGACAAAATAATGTAATTTACAAAATACAAGAGTCCGTAATGGTAGATTTGAAGCATTGGAAATCTTGGTCAGACGTGTTGTGAGATCATAGGTTTGACTGAGTAGATTCTCCAACTGGACATGAGAGATCGATTTATTGTAAGCTGTCATGGAATGGTCAACTGACAAATTTCTAGGGCTGGGTTTCCATTGGTCAAAAACGAAACCTGGTCCGGTCGCTTGCCACTCGTATTCGGCGCATATGTAGCACTGATACTGTGGAAGATGAGTTATACATTTTGAGGAAAATCCTAATGGAAAATGGATTTCCACCACGTTTTATAGATAAGAATATACATTCAAAGACTACAAAACGTGACTTATCAACCGTACCGAAGAAAATACTTTACATGAGCTTGGAATTCAAAGGGACTTAGCATCCGATATCATGAAACGAAGGATAACACAGTCCCTGAAAAGAACATTCCCTGCTGCATCTCTGAGAATAGCCTTTACTAGCCGACCATTACTGTTCAGTAACCTGAAGGACAAGATCCCGCTGTTGACCAACTCTATGTGTGTTTATCAATTCACTTGCTCGTGTGGAGCTAGGTATATCGGTCGTTCGACTCGAGTTTTGTCCAACAGGGTGCAAGAACACTATCCTGCATGGCTACGAAAAGGTGGAAGTGGAGCAATAAGAAGCGCAATCATTGAACATCTGGTCGATAATGATCACTCTATCTTTATAGCCTCCGCCTTTAAAGTCATCTACAAGGTAGAGAGTAACTTACCCATATCACTACGTACCCGATTCATCTGTATTGCTGAAGCTTTGGCTATCGAAACGGAAAAGCCAGATCTCTGTGTACACAAAAAAGTTCGTTCAACCCCTTCAACTTTCATGGTCTTAACCTCTCTATGCTAAAGTATGGTGAGCCCCAATCATATTTTAGCTCTACAAATTTTTCATTTTGTCTATTCAATTTGTATTCCCTTCCTTATTACGTCAATTGTTACTATTACTATTCTCACTTTGAACTGTCCCCGGTATTATTTCACTTGTTCCACTTGTCATTCTAAATCAGTTCTTTTCCTTACATCGCTAAATTCTATACTATTAAATTTCACACAATATTACGTAATGTTTTTTTTTGTTTTATTCGATTTGTCTACTAATCCTATAATTGCACACCCTTTTTCAAGTTCTATCCATCCTATGAATTATTCTAAACATATGATATTAATTTTCTTTTGCCACTTGACATTTAACTATGAGTATAATCACAAACATTTTATTTTTTTCATTGTATCTCATACTACTGCTATTATTATTATTATTATTTTATGCATTCACACCTATTTTATAATTGTAAGAACCTGAAGAAGCGAAATTATTGAAAAGAATATTCTTCGTTCAGATGTATATATATATATATTTGATTCACAGCTCGATTCCACACTGTATTTTTGGTACGAGTATAGAATTTTTAGCATGGATATCGGTAGTCCAAATTTTGCAGACGAACCATAGATATCGGGTGTGCGTCGGCAGGGGATCGAACCTCGGACTGAACCATGTGCATGGTCGGCGAGAGTCCTAGCCACTGTGCCACCGACACTTCGAAGATAAAGCCCACGCCTTTAGGAGATCTGGCGATTGAATATATATATATATGTATATATATATATATATATATATATATATATATATATATATATATATATATATATATATATATATATATATATATATATATATATATATATATATATATATATATATATATCAGTAAGACTTACTCATTTCAATGCGTCTGTTCAAAAACACACTGGATAGTTTTTCTAGTTCAATCAAGTCAACAAATTCACCGCTTGATTTTGTTGTTAAATCTATTGTATTCTCTTCATTTTCTGGAGATTTCGCTTTTCCAAGTGAAGTCATAGCATCACTAATTAATTGACTTTGTGTATGGACTTTTCTACGAGGCTACAATATAAAGGCAGAGCAATTACTGATTGATAGATAGATAGATAGATAGATGCATAAATACAAAAATGAGTAAATTTTTACTAAATAGTATCATGAGAACAATATTATTGTTTCAAATTCTCGAATGACCACATTGATCACATCACTTTGAGATATGGCCCGAAACACCTGTCAAAATACAAATTCATTTATATTTCTAACGTTTATGTCTCTCCTGGCTGTACCATACCGGATTTATCTATGTTCTCAGAAGAATTCACCACTTTTGCTGCAGCTTGCTTCGAGAACTCTTTATCAATAGTGACTGGTGATTTTAACTCATGCAACTACTCCTTCCTTATATCACTTGGTTATGACAATATTGTTAACTTTGCTACCCGTCTTGGTAAAAACAACACTGGATCTAGTATTTATCAATGATGTTGGTATATGTGAAGCTCGCAAACGTGCTCCTTTACTTAACTCTGACCACTGCATCATATGTGTACTGCCTAAAATATATTCCAAATCACACAAAGATATCTTCTCTCATTTCTACAGTAAATTTAAACGGAGATACTACTCACAAAACGACTTACGCAAGCTCAGATGCATGTTGGATGACACTAACTGGGACTTATTTACAGAACAAACATTAGATGACACAATCATAAACACTACTGATTAATCTTAAATTCTGTTTCCAAATATGTTGTCCTAAAGAAACATTATTCATCAGATTTGATCGCTTCTCTTCACCATATCTCAAAAAGCTACGAAGAGATAAGGAACTGATGTTCTAAACAAATGATAAACCTGGTGTAAAAAAGTTAAATATTCTGATAAAACTCGAGATGAAAAGACTAAATGTTTGATATAACCAAAGATTCTTGTCATGTAAAACCCCTTCTAATTAATGGAAACTTTTCAAAGAAATTACTAACGGTAAGCGATGTATTTCTGTCCCATCTCTTAATGTCGACACTCTTAATAAATCTTTCATACGCTCTTCTGTTGATATCCTTCCTAATGATACAAATCATACTGTCAATAATTTTAGTGGATTTAATACCCTTGATGTCCTTAAATGTCTCCGGTCTCTTAAGCCTTCTCAAAGCCTTGGTCCCGACGGCATACCTGCCATTGTCCTCAGGAACTGTGCTGATATTTTGTGTTACCCTCTTACTCACATTTTTAATGCTTCCTTTTTTCCGGTAACGTTCTACCTTTTGCATGGAAAAGCATTAAAATTATCCCTATACCAAAACCATCTTCTGGTTCTGATATTAAATTTCGGCCTATTGCAATTATTTCTCCTTTTTTTAATTGATGGAAAAATTACTTTTACTTCGTCTTGAACCTTCATTGAAACCTTTTAATGATCCTAAACAATTGGCATACAAACATGGTAGAAGTACCTTGGATGCTGTGGTTGTTTTATATCATAATGTTCTTTCTTGTTTAGACAAAGGTGCCAAATATGTTCGTGGTGCTTTCTTAGACTACACATCTGCTTTTGACTCTGTACCTAGGGGCCTTTTATTAAATAAGCTTTTGTTGATGCAAACAGGATCCTGGGTAAAGAGTTGGTTGCATTCTTATTTTTCTGATTGATTGCAGTATACTGTATATAATGGCAAATCTTCTTCTACCTCGCTTTCAAAAGCCGGTGTTCCACAAGGTGCTGTCCTCTCTCCTTTTCTTTTTTCTTTCTTCCTACATGACCTACCTCATTCAAACGAAACTAACTTTGTCAAATATGCAGATGATCTGACTGTATCACTGCCTATCACTTCCGAGTCTGACAGCTCTAAACTTAATAGCTTTCTGTTGAACATCAAGCAAGTGGTCTAAGTCAAATGGTCTTACTTACTTTCAAGCATCGACGTGACTTACATGAACTAGTTAGTCCCAATGATACCTGTAGCATAGATGGCACTGAAAATGAAACCAAGTCAAGCAATAAATACCTTGGATTAGTTCTTTCCTCTGACCTTTCATAGTCATCCCACATCTTATCAATCTCTAAGAAAATGTTTCGTCTTACTTTCTATATTAAAAAGTTAAGACAATCAGGTATCAGCCAACTTTTACTTCTGCAGTTTGTAAACTCCTGTATTTTACCTACTGTACTCTATTGCTCTCCATTAATCTTTCCTGGGCTTCTCAAAAAAGACTATATCATATTACGAAGGGTATTAAATGCCGTGAGTAGGGCTTGTGGTATGCCACTGCGTGAGCTCGCCAATACCATAGCCGAGAGACACATAAATTCCTGTACAAAATGGGCAACGGCCGTACTGTCAGACCCCCTGCACCCCCTTTATTCACAACTATCGCCTTGCATCTCATCAGGTAGGACGAGAAGTCAATATAAGGAGTTATATGCTCGAACCACTAAGTACAAAAATTCTACAATACCGTATTTAACCCGTATTTTTATGTGATGGAAGTGAAACATATAAGTTACTATGTAATTAGCAAAGTGAATCGACCCTTCCATTATTCATCTTTCTGTAATTAATTTTATGGTGTCACCCTTTCTTTCGTTTAATTATAACTTTGATATTTTAGTTTAGTTGTTATTACTATCATCACTATAATTTTATACTTTATGCATATTTTTCTCCGTATCACACACATACTGTAATTTCCTACATAGCTGCTATAACAACGTTTTATTATTATCATTACTATTATGTAATGTTTATTTTTTATGTCGTTTTTGAGTAAATTAGATGCAATATTGTATTGAATGCTGAAAATGGCTTGCTATATCATTAGTACTGTTTTTGGAATAAAGCAAAAATTATTAATATTATTATTATAGTAGTTATTCAAAGAATACCTAGGCAGTGATTACTACTTAACATGCTGTGTTACTTCAGACATGATAGTGACTATTTTTATGAGTACAGATCATCATGTATGTAACACAACTTAGCAAGAGATTACTGCCAGTAGTATAAACAAATATATTTGGTGATTTCAAGTTAGAAAACGAGTTGACATCAGTTGGAGAACCAACCTACTGGAGACTAGAGAACGGTTGCGTCCTAAGTCTGGGACTTGGTTCAGCAGTACATGCATTCTCTACCACTCTACCGGGGATCAAACCCAAGATCTCAAAATGATGAGGCTAGTTTTTGTTGGGTCATTCAGCAAATAAGATGACATCCAGTGGCGCGCATAAATTCTAACTTTCACCAAGCACAAATTTCTCGTCCAACTTTGTACACTTGAGATGTGGAATTTAAAATTACCCCGCCCTCCCCCCCCACAATTTACCTAAGAAACATTTGGCTATGAAAGCATTTAGAAACCTAATTATCCCAGACTACAAATGAAGTAGTAGAGAATTTTGCATGCATCTAAACAACATATAGAAAGAAAAGTAGTGAAAGACAATCCACATAGGTGAGAACTTTAGATAAATTAGTATATTAATACGTTAAAGACTGAAAACCAATTGTCGTTCACCACACAATGTGCATTCACCAGTCCACTTCTTCTTGTGGAGTAAAGTATATCCGCCTTACACAGCACCATATCCCCTAGTGTATTTCGCAACAACATCTTGTTTGGATAATTAGGGGGGATGGAAGAAGAATATTAATAGGATTTTTCTTCGGCATTTTACCAATTCTACGCATCGGGCACCTCCACAGGACCGCTTCATACTGACCTTCAAAATTTCACACTATCTCAATAAGACGGACTGCAAACACAACAATTATACACATCGGAATCATTGACAATCTAAGACTTTAAACTTAGTTGTTGTGTCCAAAGACAAAACGTGCACTTACTTCCCTTACTTGGCAAGAATTATGTTCCTATCATAATTTTTGTTTACATTCTGATGTTTTTGGTATTTCTTCCTTGTTATCAATAACTTTTCATCTTTCGCAAAGATTCCGTTAGCCATCAGCAATCAATGATATACACCAGCCATCCACAGTTCTCCTATCTGCTGACCGTAAGAGGTGATACAGTATTTAAGAGTTATCGTCTAACAGTAATACTGTTTATTCACAAACAGTAATTACATGTCAGTGAGTCGGTGGCACAGCGGTCAGGACGCTTTTTTCGATGTGGTTGTGTTCTCTGAGCTAGCTGGATAGTTAATTTGCGAAGCTTTCATCGCCCTACCTGCTAGGCAACATCTTCAGCGAATACTTCAATTTGTTGAAGTGAGCTTTCAGATTTCTCCACAAGTTTATTAATCATCTCTCCTGGTCGGTGACCATCTTGGATGTGATTGGTTGTTTTTATGTGTTTTCACACCTTCTAGGTTACTTGTGGCATTGGAACTGATTGTTTCTTTGACTTGAACTTTGACCCTTTGTGTGTGTGTGCGTGTGAGGCTTCTTTCTTATCGGTTGGTAAATTCTGTCTATCTCGATGTGTCTATTGATTGATGATTCACTGGAATACCAGACTGGCTTCTAAAAATTCTCTAGCATTCTTGTTGTTTCCTCTGTCTAATATTTGAACGCTGGTTGTCCCAGTCGAATTGATGTCCGTGGTTATCTGTATGTAGTGCGGCGATATGAGGGAGTGGATATCATGTCTTTTGACAGCTAGCTTATGTTAGTGGATACGAGACGAAGTAGTGGTACAATTTGGTCAATATAGTGTTTTTCGCAGTTGGTACAATTTATTATGTAGATGATGTTGGCTTTATCTTTTTTCGTTGTTGAGTCTGTGTTTTGGTTTACATAGAATTGAGTGAAGTGACTTTGTTGGTTTGTGTACGACGTCAAACCCTGAAGGTTTGAAGAGTCTTGTAGTGATTTCTGATATAGACACGTCGAGATAGACAAAATTTATCAACCGATAAGAAAGAAACCTCACACACAAAATGTCAAAGTTCAAGTCAAAGAAACAATCACTTCCAATACAAGTAACCTAGGTGTGAAAACACACAAAAACAACCAATCACATCCAAGATGGTCACCGACCAGGAGAGATGATTAATAAACTTGTGGAGAAATCTGAAAGCTCACTTCAACAAATTGAAGTATTCGCTGAAGATGTTGCCTAGCAGGTAGGGCGATGAAAGCTTCGCAAATTAACTATCCAGCTAGCTCAGAG